TTCTGGTTTGTGAGATAGGTAGAAAATGAATTTGTCCACATTTGTTTTTGGTCTTTTAGACACTGGCTTTTGAAAGGTCTCTGACAGAGATAGTAGCAAGGCTTTCTGAGCCACAGAGAGCTGTTGTGGAGATCATAAGGATGAAGTTGGAGCCAAGAGACAAAGAACCGACTGTGACTTCATCAGTGATCAGTAATATGACAAAGGGTTAGGGAGGTGGGGAAGCATCCTTTGTATATCAGTTACTTATTTATATTAATTCATTAAAATAGATAATGTCATTCAATCCTCAGTAACATTTTGAGGTAGGCATTATTACTTCCACTTTAAAGCTGCAGAAATAGAGGCCTAGAGACATTTAGCGACTTGTCCAAGTTTACATAGCTAGTGACAGAGTTGATTTTCAAACCCAGAGCCCATCTGTACCACATACTATGAATAGATAGTAACATTATCCAGAGAAAGAATGTATTTATCAGAATATAGTCAGCTTGGAAACATGCTAAATGGTAAGTCATAAAGAAAATTGGTAGAGAGTTACATCTTAAGACTACCCAGGAAAGGGAATATTATGGCTCAAAGATTAAATTTCTCAAAGTCCCTATGAAGCTTCTTGTTTTCCTGCTGTGAGATGATTGAATGAGGCTGTCAAACCCTGATCCACAGCCACCTGTTACCTGTTATTTTAGTTGTGGTAAAATATTCATAACTTAAATTTTACTATTTTAACCATTTTAAGACATTAAGTACATTTACAGTGTTGTGCAACCTTTACCGCTATCTATCTCCATAACTTTTTTATCATCCCCAAAAGAAACTCTGTACCCATTAAATAACTCTCTGCCTTCCACCAGTCCCCTGGTAACCTATATTCTATTAATGTACCTATTTTCCATCTCTATGAATGTACCTATTCTAAGTACCTCACATAAGTGGAATCATACAATATGTAATATTTGGCCTTTTGTGTCTGGCTTATTTCACTTAGCACAGTGCCTTCAAGGTTCATCTATGTTGTATCAGAATTTCATTCCTTTTTATGGCTGAATAATATTTTATTTATACACATACCATATTTTGTTTATCTGTTTATCTATTGATGGACACTTGTGTTTTTTCCACCCTTTGGCCATTGTGAATCATGCTGCTGTGAACATTGGTGTACAGATATCTGTTTGAATCCCTGTTTTTAGTTCTTTTGGATATATACCTAGGAGTGGAATTGCTGAGTCATATGATAATTCTATGTTTAACTATTTGAAGAACCACCAAATTGTTTTCTGCAGCAGATGTACCATTTTATATTCGCACCAGCAATGCGTGAGAGTTACAGTTTCTCTACATCTGTGCCAACCCTTGTTATTTTTCATTTTTTCATAACAGCCATCTTAAGGGGTATGAAGTAGTATCTCATTGTGGTTTTGATTTGCATTTCCCTAATGATTAGTAAGGCTGAACATCTTTTCATGTGCTTATTGGACATCTGTGTTCTTTCTTTGAAGAAATCTCATTTGCTCTTTTTTGAAATGGATTGTTTCAGTTTTTTGTTTTTGTTGTCATTGAACTATAGGAGTGTTCTGTAAGTGTTTCTGGATATTAATCCATTATCAGATATATTATTTGAAATATTTTCTCCCATTCTCTGGGTTGTCTTTTCACTATCATGATAGTGTCCTTTGATGCACAAAAGTTTTTCATTTTGATGAAGTCCAGTTGATATTCTCTTTTGCTGCCTATGCTTTGGGTGTTATATCTAAGAATCATTGCCAAATCCAATGTGATGAAGATTTTTCACTATGTTTTCTTCCAAGAGTTTTATAGTTTTAGCTCTTATGTTTAAGTCTTCGATACATTTTGAGTTAATTTTTTGTATATGGTGCAAGATAAGGTTTCAACTTCATTCTTTTGCATGTAGATATTCAATTTTCTCAGCACTATTTGTTGAAAAAAATGTCCTTTTCCTATTGAACGGTCTTGGCACCTTTGTCAAAAATCAGTTGACTATATATGTGAAGGTCTATTTCTGGGCTTTCTATTCTATTCCATTCCCTTCGTCTATATGTCTATACCATACTGTTTTGATTAGTGTAGCTTTGTAGTAAGTTTAGACTCAGAAAGTGTGAGCTTTCCAACTTTGTTCTTCTTTTTCAAGATTGTATGAGCTATTTGGGATCCTGTAAGATTCCACGTAAATTTTAGGATCACTTATTCTATTTGTGCAGAAACATCATTTGAAATTTGATAGGGATTACTTTGAATCTGTAGATTTCTTTGGATAGTATTGTCATCTTAACAATATTAATCATCCAATTCATGAACACAGGATGTCTTTCCATGTACTTGTCTTCTTTAATTTCTTTCAGCACTGTTTTGTAGTTTCAGTTTATAAGTCTTTAGCCTTGTTGGTTAAATTTATTCCTAAATAGTTTATTCTTTTTGATACCATTATAAATGGAATTATTTTCTCAATTTTCTTTTCAGACACTCCATTGCTAGTGTATAGAAATGCAGCTGATTTTGTGAGTTGGCTTTGTAGCCTGCAACTTTGCTGAATTCCTTTATCAGCTCTAACAGCTTTTTGTGTGTGTGGAATTTTTAGGGTTTTCTATGTGTAAGATTATATTAGATTGTTAAGTATGAAATGTCTGATTTCCTTAAGTACTAAGTTGGGCAGTTGATATCTCTGACATTTCACTTTGACACTTCTTGTTTTATGTTTATTGTGAAGGTACAGCCTCAGTCTTTTAAACATATGTTTTGGCTTGTGATTATCTTCCAAAATTTTTTAGAGCAATTTTTGTGAAACCAAGTAAAAAATTTGTGTTATTTTTGAATATGAGTTCCGTCACAGAATCAATGCAGTGCAGACAGCTCAAAATATCAACAAACTGTTTGAGAAGGATATGGCTAATGAATGCACAGTACGTCACTCTTTTGAGAAGTTCCATTCTGGTGATTTTAATCTTGAAAATGAGCCAGCTGGGTGACCTGAGACCAACGTGGATAATGATGAACTGAAAGCTGTAGTATAAGCAAATCTATTTCAACCTATGCATGAATTAGCATCAAGGTTTGACATCACTATTCCAACAATATTGGACCATTCGAAACAAATCGGCAAGGTAAAGAAGCTGGATAGATGGGTTCCACATGAGCATCAGAAGAGAAATCGTCTCAAAGCTTGTCTGTCTTTGCCGTCACAACAGAATAGTGAAACATTTCTACACTGTATTATTACATGTGATGGAAAATAGATTCTTTTTGACAGCTGCAAGCCTTTGGCACAATGATTGGATAAAGATAAAGTGCCAAAACACAGTCCAAAACTGGATATTCATCAAAAATATCTACTGGTGTCTGTTTGGTGGTCCAGCGCTGGTATTATCTACTACAGCCTCATGAAAACTAGTCATTCTATTACAGTGGATGTCTGCTTCAACCAACTGGATGAAATTATGAGGATGCTTGCGATTAAGCAGCCAAGATTGGTCAATAGAGACAGGTCAATCCTCTTGCAAGAAAACACTTAAACACATGTTGCACGAACAGTGCTGCTTCAAACTACAGAGGCTGGACTTGGAAACTTTCTGTCATCTACCAGACCTTACACCAACTGACTAGCACTTTTTCCATGCTTTGGACCACTTCTTGCAAGGAAAAATAATTCAGTTCTCAACAAGCTGTAGAAAACGCCTTTGCGATTTCATCACCACTCACTCTCTAGGTTTCTTTGCTGCTGGCATAAACAAGCTACCATTAAGATGGCAAAACCATGTCAATAGTTTTAGTGCATACTTTGATTAATTATACTGTTTCTTGTTTGAGATATAATAAACTACACTTTTGATTCGAAATTGGATATTTCATATTTAATGACCTAATATTATCTTCAAACAGAGACCATTTTACTTCTTCCTTTCAAATCTGAATGCCTTTAATTTCTGTTTCTTGACTAATTTCTTTGGCTGGAATTTCCAGTACTTTAACAGAAGTGGGGAAAGTCGACATCCTTGTCTTGGTTGTAATCTTAGGGGAAAGAAAGGCTTTCAGTCTTTCATGATTGACTATAATGTTAGGTGTGGGTTTTGCATATATGGTCTTTATTATGTTGAGGAAGTTCCCTTCTAAGTTTATTGAGTTTATTATGAAAGCATGTTAAATTTTGTCAAATGCTTTCTCTACATCGATTGAGATGATCCTGTGATTATCCTGTGGTTTTTAAACTTCATTCTGTTTCTGTAGTGTATTATGTTACGTTGACTGATTTTCATATGCTGAACCATTCTTGTATTCTGGGAATAAACACCATTTGGTAATTACATATAATAATCCTCTTACTATGCTGCTGAATTTAGTTTTAGTATTTTTTGTGGGTTTTTGCATTCCTAAGGGCTGCTGCCCATTTTGGAAATTAAGGTTTTATTGGAACATAGCCATGCCCATTCTTTCTATATTGTCTATGGCTACTTGCACATTTCAACAGAGGCCACATGGCCTGCTAAGCTGAAAATATTTACTATCTGGAATAAGTAAGTACCTTTTCTAGAATAAGTTTGCCAACCTCTGAGTTAGATAAGTAACTCTCCTTACTGTGGCCCTACCCTGCCCAAAAAACTTGTGGTTCTCATTTGGTTTTCTGTGAAGGTGTACCTTTGGAGTCGAACGGCCCTGGTCATGCACCAGTGAATATTTTAGGTCACATGGCAGTTATATTTCTCACAGTAAATTAATAAATTAGCATTTTAATTTATCCATCATTGTATAATCACCTAGAGATCTGACCTCAGGAGTCTTCTATTTTTAATAGAATCAGGGTTCTGAACGCACAAAAGTTGAGGGAATGATGCTGGAAATTGGAAACCTAAACAAATTGCTACCCTTGGGCAGCCCTGTTGGGTATATAGCCTGCTGCTTCCCCTGATAAAAACCAAATTTCACTGCATGTATCCTTTGATCTACGGTAGTTTATATTTATGTTTTTTTCTATCTTTTGCTTTTAGATTTCTTCATCATGCTGAGGAAGAACGATTTCCTATTTCATATAGCAGTTGGTACCATGCAAAAATCAGCTCCTTGAAAAGGTCAGAACCTGTATTTATACGTAGTAGAACTGGAGACTTGTTCCCTGTTAAGCTGTGTATGAATGTGTGTGTCACAAAAAAACAATTAGACTGAATAAAAAAATCCTACTCTTTCTTGCCAACTTATCCTGTGAATTTAACAAATCCTGTGTGATTTATGTGGCTCTTTATAGTTTGCAAAGTACTCTTCATGTAATTATCTCATACAGTCTTCACAGTAATCTTGTGAAGAAGGTGCTATTATTATTCCTATTTTATAGAAACAGTGATGGGTTAAGAGATGTACTCAGAATCTTGAGCTGTTGATTGCAAGACCTAGTCCCAGATCTTTTGCCTATAAATATTACCCTCCTTTCTACATCACAAGTTCATAATCAATATCAGAATTTAGTAGACATCTAACTATGAAAGCTGTATGAGCATTGGAAATAATGTATGCAAAAGTCTACGAAAAAGCTTCTAAGCCCCTTTATGGATGTAAAATATCACTAACAAATCAGATCCTGACATTGAATGCCTAACATATATATAATCTTTGGGATTATACCAGGGTCCTCAATGTATAATATACCATTGGCTTAGTATGTGAAATAAAGTTCATAAATTGCCTCTTACCTACTTTTCTAGCCTCATTTCACTCTGTTCCTTTGTCCTTTGTCTCTGTAGCTTATCCTACCTCTTTTCATCTGTAATAAATGGTTGGCTATTGTTCAAACACACTGTCCATTTCCATTTCCATGTTCAGATCCATATAATTAGGAAGAGAATTTTGGATACTTTTGTACTATATTCTCATTGCCTAGAATGCCTATTCATCTTTCTTCTGACAATCCCAGCTCAACTTCATCTCCTCTATGAAGTTTTTCTTACCTTCCCAGGTAAAGTTAACCATTCCCTCCTGTTTTCCCAGAGCACTTTGTATATGAATCTCTGTTACAGCAAAAATCACATTATGATTGTGTGTTTGAATTGCTCTCTCTCCTACTAATCAGTGAGTTCTTTGTGAGCATGGACTGGGACTTATTTGTCTTTTTGTCCTTAACTCCACATGTTACTACTAGGCTTAGATATATTTTGTTAGTAGGCTTAGATACATTTTGTTCAATTAATAAAATAACAACTACAGTTCCTTCCAACTACAGATCCTTAAAGGATCTGTGCATTATTCTAAGTGAGAGACTGCCCACATAAAAATACCTAGAAGCATATATATATATATATATATATATATATATATATATATATATATATATATGTAAAACAATATAGTTTATACTTGAGGTAGAATAGTGAAATAATCAGAGCCAAGTGGAGTTATTTAGGGAAGGATTCCTCTACGTCAGTGGTTAGTAATCAAATCCTATCTGCCACCTATTTTTATAAATAAAGTTTTATTGGAAGATAGCCATGTTCATTTGTTAACGTATTATCTATGGTTGCCTTCATGCTATAATGACAGAGTTGAGTAGTTGCAACATAGACCATATGTCCTATAAAGCTGAAAATACTTACTGGCCCTTTACAAAAGAAATTTGCCAACCTCTGCCTTTAGCAGATGGCTTTTGATTATGAAAAGAAGAGGAACATGAATTGATGGAGTGTGCGTGATAATACAATGAAAACCGGCCATAATAGTAGTAGATATGGTATGTAAGAAAGTTCTACTCTGATCCAGTTTATCAGAGAGAGCTATGTTGAAAAAATGAAATGTCAAAAATGCTTTGGATTGAGAAAAAGGGAATATAAAAATATAATGGAAAGAAAATTATCCAGTAAACACCTTGGACCTATAGCAAATTAGTTTCCTAAGTAGTAGCAGGGAATAATGATGATAAAGGAAGAGGAAGCAACAAAACAAATTAACATTGACTGAGTGTCTGCTATGTGCCAGTACTATTCTAAGTGCTCTGTGTGTGTTTATCTGTTTCTTATTGAATCCTCACAACTGAATGAGATAATTGCTATTATTGTCCTTATTTTGCTGATGAGGAAACTGAGGCAGAGGGTTAAATTACTTGGCCAATATTATACAACTAGTAAGTGATGAAACTAAATCTGAACCCAGGCATCTGGAGTTCCCTGAACGAAGAGGGGAAACCTGGAAATATTTGGTAAAATATTTACCTTAAGCTTGGAATAAGGTACTTAGTCCTAGTACTTAGGAAGTGTGCTGTCCCAACATGGTAAAGAGAAAATGAACAGACAGTAGAAGAGTAATGTTGGGAGGCAGATTGTCCAATTAGAAGAGTATACTATGGATTAGGCAGAATAAGAGGAAGAAGGGAGGAGATACATTATATAATAAGACGTGTTATATATTTAGTCATTCAGTTTAACCTTGATGAGACCAGAAAGCAGTTAACTTTCCTTGCACACATGAAAGCTGTCTTAACATACCTGATGAGCTGCCATATCCAGTTGACATAGAGATTAGCAGTGACTTTCAAGGTGGTAGGAGGCATTCGAACCCCACACAAAAATGTGCGTACTTCTGTACCGCAAGTATATTTTAATTAGTGGAGATGTCAAATCATAACACACACCATTCCCTCTCATTTGATTTTGTCCCCTTAAGGGGACAGTTTCTGGTCTAACTCTGTATGACTGCTGTGATAAACATTTACCCCTTTGGACCATTTTTAATGTATGTATATTGTATGTATGTTAAAGTAATACATACGCATTTTGAAAATTTTGCCAATAGAAATATACCAAATGAAAAGGGAAGTTTCCCTTCTGTCACCATCCTGCTCTCTAAAGGAAACCTCTATTAAAAGTTTGGTTGTAGGCTGGGTTCTGTGGCTCACGCCTGTAATCCTAGCACTCTGGGAGGCTGAGGTGGGCAGATTGCTCAAGGTCAGGAGTTTGAGACCAGCCTGAGCAAGAGCAAGACACTGTCTCTACTAAAAAAAAAAAAAATAGAAAGAAATTATCTGGACAACTAAAAAAAATAAAATAAAATAAATATATATATATAAAATATTAGTTGGGTATGGTGGCACATGCCTGTAGTCCCAGCTACTTGGGAGGCTGAGGCAGAAGAATTGCTTGAGCCCAGGAGTTTGCGGTTACCGTGAGCTAGGCTGATACCATGGCACTCTAGTAGCCTAGGCAACAGTACAAGACTCTGTCTCAAAAAAAAATATTTTTTTGTTGTATATGAAACTATTGGTATTGATAGAAGTGTGCTGGGATTCCCTCAGTGTTATTCAGATAGAAAAAAAACATTGAGGGATGTGGAGCAAGATAGCACACGAGAAATACCACCAGACAGAGTGTCTCTGCAGAAAAGACAGATTCTAGGAGAAATTAGAAGAAAGAAGCTAGCAGAGGAGCATACATCGGACGAGAGTGGGACGGAGGGGTACCTGAGATTACGGGAGACTCCATGGGAGGAGGTTGCGGAGAACTGGAAGCAGAGACCTCTAGAGAGACCAGCGGCAATGGTAGGTGGAGTGAGTAGCCTGGAGACCAGCAGCAAGGGTAGGTGGAGTGAGTAACTCTCCCTTCCCTTGCATCTTGGACTGCTGTGGGCTCCCCAGTGGTTGGAGAGACCTGTGGACACCACCCCAGAGACAGCCACGACCAGTGAGCGGTAAGCCTATATCAGACATGGCACCAGGCTCCCGGCTCCCTCAGGGCATTTCCATGTGCACAGACCCAAGTCGTGCGGCAGGCGCCATATTGCACCATTCTCCCCTCCCTCGTCCCTGTCCGCGGCTGCCAAGAGAGACAATATAGCCACCAGCTGGAGGCATCTCCAAGCAATGGGACCTTCCCTTTTGGGGCCCTGTTGCTGACTGAGGGATACTCAGATGGTGAGTTCCCTACCCGCCAGCCCTCCTAGGTGCTGTTGGCCAGGTGATTCCAGGAGAACGGGGCAGACCCTGAGGCTGAGAGACATCAACCCAGCTTGGGCTCCCCATGGATGAATTAGGACTGGCACTTCTCACCCTGGTGGGGTTAGGGATTGAACTCCGGGGCCCAGAGGTCAGACCTGCAGACCAGATCTGTGCACCCAGGTCTCGCATTGCCTGGGGCACAGAAGGGATATTCATGGACAGCCTAGTAAGGTGTGTGTGCCTTCAGGGGCAGATCAGCTTGCTTGAGGGCAACCCTCCCCCCAAAGGGGGGCCGTGTGTCCAGCCCAGGCAGTGATCCTGCGCAGGGAACCTCCTGGCCGGCATTACAGCCAGGGGAGGCTCAGAGGCGTGAGGTCTGGCCTGCTGGCAGAGGCCCAGGAGTAGCTGTGGAGTTGGGGAGGGTAGAAAGGAGCGAGGCCCGCTCTAGACTGCAGGTCTCAGACGGCCCCACCCCCACACACAGACTCTCTGACTGAGAGGGGCCATTCCAGCCCCTCCCTGACAGCTTTTCCTGAAAGCAAAGAACAGAACTTTGACCCCTGCTAGCAGCATTTGTGGTGCCTGAAGACAGGCTTGCCCAACCCAGCTCCGCCCAGACTCACTCCCAGACCAGCCCTCACTGAGGTGGAGAATAAGGACATACCTGGAAGTCCCAGGGCCCCGCCCACCTCCTGAGGCACCAGAGTGCCTCTCTAGAAGAGCAAGTGTAGCCTGTTCCTTCGAGCAAGCACCACCTACTGACAGGGAGGACATTCTGCACACCCTTTTCATGGCACCTACTGACTCATCATACAGGGAGTGGTCGAATCTCACCAACAAACACCACCTACTAGATCAGAAACTAAACAGGGCATGTCACTTTCCAAACAAAAACCTAAGGCAAGAAGCAACAACTGATCCAGATGGGAAGAGATCAGCGAAGGAACTCTGGAAACATGAAAAACCAAACGGAAAGCACACTCCCAAAGAGGATCACCAGCCTCTTAGAAAGGGACATGAACCAAAATCAGACTACTAAAATGTCAGAAGAGAAATTTCAAATGTGGATTGTAAGAAAATTCAACGACTTGCAAGAACAACTGGATAACCAACACAAAGAAAACGCAATAAGATTCCAGGACCTGGAACAAAAATTCA